TGCCAGATACCAAGCTGAAGTAACCGTGAATGGTTTTAGATCGCTAGCACCTGCTAGGCAGAAGGAACACTGCCAATTCTGGATGGGGTATTAGTCATTTTGCATAATGTCACTACAGATCTGTTATACAGGTATTATAATACAGTACTTCATTTATCACATTTTCCTGGTTGGCATTCAAAGCCTGGCAGCATGGTGCTCCTGGATGCATTGGGTTAGACAACAGAATGTGGTTGAGCAGACATCAGGATACTGAAGCTGTTGTTAAAATTTAAAACAACATTCATTTAATGGAAGCACTGGGCAACCTTGGCCAAGTCATATTTTCTCGACCTTTGGGGAGGGCAGCCACAAACCTTGTATATAGAAATCTTGCAAAGAGAATCAGCATAAGGTGGCATTGAGAAAGGCAAATAAAAACAACTAATATTCTCAAGAAGAGAGCTCTAATGACTCTGACCAAAGGCTTCTGGTGATCTTGAGTGCAGTCAGTCTTTGTTGAATGCCTGTATCTCAAGAAAATGTATCTGGAAAGAGAAATGCTTTCTGTGATGTTTCCTTCATGCTTTATTTTCTACAATAGATGTTTGTTACCTGTAGCATGGACCACAAAGTATGGCTCAATCCAATGAACTACACGGAGATTCTGGGTAAATACTAGAAATAGCTTCTTGGTGATAGGAGCTGTTTGAGAGTGGAACAGACTAGTCTGGAAAGTGGTGGACTCTGGGCGCTTCCAGACAGCGCCAAAACATGGGATTTAGAAGAGGAACAAAAAAACCCTGGGACCTCAGAGCAGGTTCCCACACTAACCTGCCAGTCCCAGGCTTTCTTCTCTTGCCATCCTCACTGGTCTCCCTTCTGTGTCTTGGGATAAAATGGTTGTTGTTATTTGTTCCATCACTTCCGACTCTTTGTGGCCTCATGGACCAGCTCACGCCAGAGCTCCCTGTCAGCCGTCACCACCCCCAGCTCCTTCAGTTAAGCCAGTCACATAAAATGGAGGGGGAAACATTTTGGAAAATGCATAACCTTTTGGGAAAACCAGAAATCTCAATAGGCTTTTGGAAGCATGATCCTTTTGGAGATTTGTAAGTCAGATGTTTGTAACTCTGGGACTGCCTGTATTTTGTTTCCTGATTCAATTCATATTATCCTTCAGATATTAAACGTGTGATTTTTTTCCCCATTTGCTGCTATGGATTCCCTCATTGTTCAGCCTAATGGTTCACTGTCTGTAAAAGACAGTGATTAAGAAGCTTGCATCATTTTTTAAAAAATGATCTTTTCTCCAGGCACATATTAGCTCCTTTCCAGATATAGAAGACTGGATTGTGTTATGATACAGGGCAGCCGAGAACATTCATAGACTGTTGGTTTACCAATGGGATTTCTACGATCTTCTATACTTTTATGCCTTATAAATACAGACAGCTTTTGTGGTAGATTTTTGCTTCCAGACCCAGAAGAAACCATTCATCCCCCCCCCCCCACTTTGCCTCAGGCTCTGCTCAGGTGCAGGAATGTTTTATTACAGTTAGCAACCCCAAATCTGACTTTTTTAGTTGCCATGGGAACCAGGATTAATGAGCAGCCTTCCTCTTCCCTTGGGTTAAGTGGTAATTGGTTGCCGGAGAGGCTGAAGCTTCCCTGAATCCAACCTGCCGGTTGTGAAAGCGAGACCTGTTGAATTTCTGGTTCTGTGGTTGCTGAAGGCACAGGAATCTTGCCTGTAACAAAGAGCACTAGCTCAGCATCAAAGAAGTTTGCCTTTCTCCCTAAAAGCAGAGTCACCAGCTCTCGTTTCTTAGATATGGTTAGCATGATTTCTTATGGGAGAGCAGATTTTTATTTTATTTTATTTATAGTATCAGAAGCAAACCAAGGGTACAGGGGTAATATATTTAAAAAACACAAAGTTTAAAAAACTTGGCATTATATTAAATGTCCTTTGACCAGTAGTTGGCCACTTGGAGTGCCTCTGGTGTTGCTATAAGAAGGTCCTCCATTGTGCATGTGGCAGGGCTCAGGTTGCATTGTAGTAGGTGCACTTTGGTTTGCTATCCTCCACACTCGCATGTCGTGGACTCCACTTTGTGGCCCCATTTCTTAAGATTGGCTCTGCATCTCGTGGTGCCAGAGTGCAGTATGTTCAGTGCCTTCCAAGTTGCCCAGTTTTCTATGTGCCCAGGGGGGAATTTCTTATTTGGTATCAGCCATGGCTGAGGTTTTGGGTTTTAGCCTGCCACTTTTGGACTCTCACTTGCTGAAGTGTTCCCGCAGTATCTCTGTAGATCTTAGAAAACTATTTCTTGATTTAAGGCGTTGGTGTGCTGCTGATACCTGAACAGAGAATGGGCCTTCATCCTTTCCTTATTGGCTGCTACTTCCTGGTGGATGTCAGGTGGTGCAATACCAGCTAAACAGCATAATTTCTTCAGTGGTGTAGGTTGCAGACATCCTGTGATATCACAGGATGGGAGAGCAGATGAAGACTGCTATATGGCATATGTTCTGTATCTCAAAAACGATAGCTGACAGGGGAAAACTGGCACCATTTTTGGAATCAGCAGGTCAAATATACCCAGAAACAAGTCTAACATTTGAGGCACCAAAATGTGTGTTGGCCAGTCTTATATGTCCAATTTTTAAATAGGACTCATTGCCAGAATATTTGGGACTGACAAAACCTCCTAGTGAGCAAGCTAAGAACTGTAATTATATATATATATATATATATATTAAAAAAACCCTTCTCAAGCTTTATTTATTTTTTCACCTCTCAAAAGTGTAGGCTACCTTTCACAAGAAGTATTCGAAGCAATAGGCATGTCGGTTTGTTTTAGCAATCAAGCAGCGCTGTGAAGATTAATTGGCATAATTCATGGATTCCAGTTCACGTCGTCATATGTATGAGCTGATTAAGCTACCTTTTAAATTAGGTATGTGCCTACCTTTTAGATAACTTTTAAAAAAGGATCTGAATGGTACAAATAGCAGTAGCATTTAGGGGTCGACAAAGCACCGCGCTTGTTTTCACCTCCTCAACACCTCAATATCCGCAGCAAAGCACAAGGCAGCAGAACAAACCAGGACTTCTATGCAATGTTCCTCCATCTCCAAATAGTGAAGCCACACATATGTAACTATCAAAATAGATTATACGTTATTTATATTGAAAAGTGGTTTTCTGGCCTCAAGTCAACAATCATAAGCATGTGTATAAGTGATAGATGGGTGAGGGGAATGAGGACACTGCTCTTCCAAATGAAAATTCTGCCACCCCATATTTTTTTTCTATCTTTCCCAAATATTGAGTATTGCAGAGATGGAGACACTGAGAATTGCTCATACCTATAACTTTTATATATTTGATGATTTTACATTTTCTTCGTGACTTTACCCACTTTTTTATTCATGTGCCTAAACTATACATCCAATGAAACTTTTAATTTATTGCAATGCTAGAAATCAAGGGGCAGAACTCTTACAGAAAGGCAATGCTCGCAGCCCCTCCCTCTCCAGCTACAACCTAGCTGTACTTTTGAAGATATTATATTTCTTCAATTCTAAGACACACTTTTTCCTATATAAACATTTCTAAAATTGGAATGTGTCTTAGAATTGCAGGCATATCTGATGTATTTCTGCCATTGATGGCATCTTACAATTAAAGAAATATAGTAATAAGTTACGTGGCATGGGTTTTGCCAGCTCTTCCAGAGAAGAAGCTTACTTTATCTCAATTCTAGCAATAGTTTGCACTCCATCTCACTCTCCTGGTTTCTCTCATTTACTTTTTATTTCCCAGTGAAAGGAGGAGAGAGAAAAAATATTTGTATGGCCTTCTTCAGAGGTTATTACATTACAACAATTGGTCTAATAAGCATTTTGTAATTACCAACAGAAATTAAATGAATCCTTAGGCAAATACAATTGCGTATGTGCAAGATACCATTCTCAGTGTAGAAATGCCCACACAGATATCAAGAAAATGCATCTCAAGATTTCACAAGTGACAAGAGAATTTATTTTCTTTTTTTTGTAGGAGGAAAGAAATTTTTCCCTATGAGTAGTAGTTAGGAATATGCATTATTCGGTTTTCTCTACTATTCCTTATTGGTCCTAACTTTATGTGTAAGCTAATATCATCTTCCACACTCAAGATTTTTAGATCCCAGCCCTATATTATTTACATTTTGTTACTGTATTTACATTTTGTTACTGTATTCAGAGTACACAGCACCTTTTTTTGTTATTATGTGCCTTCAAGTTGTTTCCAATATATGGTGACATTAAGGTGAATCTATCATAGGATTTTCTGGGGCAGAGAGTGTGATTTGCCCAAGATCACCCAGTGGGTTTCCATAGCCAAGTGGGGAATTTAATTCTGGTCTCTAGAGTTGTAATCCAATGCTCTAATCACTACACCAGGCGCCTTTCTTTTCTAAGGAATAGTCCCTTAAAAAGAGCATGCAGATATGTTCTGTCCATGTTTTCATTCTTGAACGAGATTGTATGAATATTTTCCAACCAAAATGCTCTGGACTGTTTTTAAAAACGAAACTTTCTGTTTACTATTGGCCTCTAATGTATGTTTCTAGTTTCTTTGTTTCACATTCTGTTTTCATTTTAAGAGAAACCTTCCAGCAGAGATTTTAGTGGAGTGTGTTTGTGCATGTCTAGTGGGTTAACAGCAGAACTAAGGAAAAGTTACACTTTGGACTATAACTCCCAAAATCTGTTGTCAGTACGGCCAGGCCATGTTGGTTGTGGATTCTAGGAGTTGTAGTCGAAAAGGCAACCTTTTGAGAGTGCTAATTTTGTCTCTTTGCTGGGAGAGGCTGGTGGGGTGATACAATCAAGGACCCTAAAGATAGAGATAGTGGCAAAACATACTCCATGGAACCAAGATGTGACGCAAAAGAGAAACCCAAAAAACCACATCAGGAGAAGAAAGTAAAAAAAAACTGACTTGCTTCCTCCTCCGACCCCTCCTGTTCCCCACAGCAGGCAGCAGAAGTCTCAGGGACACAAAAGAGCTGCCTGTTTATGATTGAATGAAGAGGACCGTACCCATGAACGTCAAGCATCTTTTCGCCTTGATTGCAGTGATGTTGATGAGGATGTGGGGTAAGTAGTCCCAAAAGGCTCTTCCATCCATGCACAGAGTGGTTCAGAGTTCAGCAATATATCAATGCATTGGGTGGTCTATAGAAAGCCAATCTTTTTCTCAGCTTCAGCCTTCATCTTCCACACTCAAGATTTTTAGATCCCAGCCCTAACTGTTGCCTAGTTGTGTGCAAAACATAATGAATATTTAAGATAATCCCAACAGAAATACTTAGCTGTATTATGCAGGTTTATATCTTCTGGGGTGCTTTATGTCACATCCCCTTGAAAGGGTGTTCTCTATCCACAAGTCAACAGAGCTTCATTTGGTTGAAAGCTTGGATAGGCTGGGTGAATTCCTGTGGGTGCCAGAAGGACACATGTGCTGTTCGAGGCCCATGATATTGGAAATAATATGCTCCCAGATGGTCTACCTTGTGCACGAATACCTTCTGAGCAGGCTCTCCTATGTACTCCTTTGCTGACAGAAGCAGAGTTGGCAGCTGCGCCTTGGACCCACCCTAGAGACATGCTCCTGGGAAATTCCCATGCACTTTTCATAACCCCTTTTAATTTTAGGGAGGCTTTGGGGGTTGCTGGAGTGACACCATTGACCTGTATTTTTAACATCCTTTGGAGATTGAAGTTTGGATTGTTGCTGTTTATTCCTTCTTATCATTAACGTTTGCTTCAAAATGTATTTTTGTTGTTAACATACTTATAAGAAGCTAGCTATTTAAGTGAATGAACCACAATATGAATTGTTTTGGCTAAACATATAGGATAACACTGAAGAGCTACATTTTTCAGGACACCTTGGAGCAATGCAACTCATTTTTTAGATTTTTTCTGCTTTTCTGGGATCAGAATGATTTGCCATGAGTCAGATTAATCTCTGGAATAGCATTTTATACCTGTAGACCAGTGGTTCTTAACCTGTGGGCTGCGGACCACTGGTGGGCCGCGAGGACAAAAATCTGGTCCGTGAGACTCCTTCCCCTTTATTTATTTTATTTTATTTCCACTCTTTTTGCACTGCTTGCCACACCTTCCCTGTCACTGACCATAGCATATGTTCTGTATCAGAAACTAGAGCTGAGATGGTCTATCCAATGCAATTTTCTGAATTGGCACCCCAAAGCGAATCTAAAGTTGACCAAAAACTGATTTGTAACCCTTTGGTACTAATGTGGGCGAGTGCTCCCTGGTCAAAGTGATCCCTGGCCAAGTGGTCCCCGATCAAAGTCATTCCTAGTCAAATAGTCCCTAGTCAGAGTGGTCCCTGGTCAAGGTGGTCCCTAGTAAAAAAAAAAAAAGGTTGGGAACCACTGCTATAGACAATGTGCTCTCCACACATATTTTCATATTTCTCAGCAGTGATTGCCTCAAATGTCTCTTGTGTTTGGACACAGTAACAGTTCCTAGTCTTGTGAGGACAAAATGTGTTTGGACGTATCTCTATCTGTTTTCTAGGAGACAAATAGAGAATTTTGAAAAATGTCCAGGATCCCAAACAAGAGCAAAAAATTAATCTTAGTTAAGAAGGAGTCCTATGTGGAAGCAAGTACAATGTGGTCCATACAGACATTACAAATACACTTTTTTGGGGCCAATAAGTAAAAATACACTAACTTGAACATGGAAATATTGATTCATTGACTATACTTCCCACAATCCCCCTGTTGGATGGGGGATACTGGGATTTGTAAGAAATTTATCCAAGCTCTAGTACTGTATTAGTTGCTGGAGCAGAGGCATGCTGAGGAACTCGATCTGAGAAAGGAATTAATTCTGCACTACGGCACTACCCTAATTTTCTGTCTACTGTGTTAGGCCACTGTCCTTTCTTATTCAGACTTTCATTATGTTTTCTTTTAACCAGAGAATGTGAACTCTGTAAAGGAGTGGGAATGAGTCACCCGCAGAATATAGAGTGTAAGGAATGTTACCTGAATGTTAACAATTAGGCTGCAACTGGAAAACCAAGATTAGGAAATGAAAATTCAGGCCACCTTCAGTCATGCAGAATAGGCAGGGAGAGATTACTCTCTGTGAGGAGATATTTTTCCAGTTCCAAACTGTTCTGAATGGAGCCTAAATTACTATTTATTCACTCACATACTTATTAGATTTCTGTTATGCTCTCATTCCCCAAATAGTGTCCAAAGTGGCTTAATGTATTACATTTACATTACTAGATAATGTAAAACATCTGCCAGTTATAACTGGTGAAATGTATTTCCTTACTTTCCTTAATGTTCATTTATCCCAAGTAGTTGAGTGGCACTGCCCCATAGTATTCTAGGTGGTGCAGAATGTAAATGCATTCTGAAAATATGACTGGATGTTCATGTGTCATACAAATGCCTTGCATACACAAGTAAGGAAAGGATGTACAAATGTATTTTTATAATACTGTTTTCACTCAATCTTAGAGGAATAATTCAGTTTTCTAATTTAAGTCAGACAAAACATACAGTGATTAACTGGGAAAAGGAGCAATTCAGAATCTATAGGAATTCCTTAAATGTCCTTAAAGACAATGCAGAGATTTTTCATGCAGCAATGCAACTTAATATTAGAGAAATCAGACAGATTGTAAAAAAAGAGAATGTAAGTTTTGTTTTTTATTGGGGCTTGAAATCTTGGGTCTTTCCACACTATGTAATTATAGTGCTACTATTCCACTTTAATTGTCATGGTTCTGTCCTATGCATTCCTGGGATTTGTACTTGAGAGAAGAGTTTTTCGAATTCTCAGCTAGGAAGTTTCTCTGTTGTCTCTGATCAAACTAAATTGACAATCCATACAATGCAGCCATGACTGTTAAAGTAGAATCATAGTGCTATAATTCTGTAGAGTGAAAAGAGCCATACACAGCAAATACACAGCAAAAATAATTGTGTTCACAAAATGGTATTTCAGTTTTTCATGAGGTAGTAGAAAATATAAATCTGATTGACTCTTCTCTGCCTTGTTGTGATTTTGTCATTGGTAATCCCTTTCAGCCTCGGTTCCCTCAAAGTAAAATAGGAATACAAATTAACAGCTTCAAAGGGTTGTGTAAAAAAAGAAAAGAAAAACTGCCAAACATTCTGAATGCCAAAGGTGCCTGATAAATTATTAAAAATAAATATGAGCTAAGCGTTACCCTGTTTGCATGCTCAGGTTTTATAAATCCCTTACATTACATGCAAATTCCCATTACCACTCCTGCTATTGCTGAGAGTTGTTATTATTGTATAAGCAGGACAGATGTGCATCCCAGAATGGAAAAAGAACATTTCCCATGCATATAATTATTTTATTTAAAATAGTGATAGTATATTTTTTCATTTAAAAAGTCAAGGAGACAATATGTGTGTGAAGACAATCTGCTAAATATCTGAAAAAGATAAAATTGAAAGGGAATCAATGGCATGGATTGCAGGCATCCCATGCATTTCATATTTTCTTTTGTAAAATGTTGCATCTATGGTACAAAACACAACCAGACCAGTGGCAAGCATCTGCAAGTATTTTTTGTTGTTGTTGTTGCAAAATAGCCCACACAAAATGGTGTGAAAAATAATAATACACTTATTAGCTGCCTCTGGCTCAAGGCAGGATGCATCATTAAATTACCAGGAGTGACATTCAAGCAATATTTCCTGCAGCTCTTACTGTGTTGTTGTTGTTGTTGTTGTTGTTTATTCATTCAGTTGTTTCTGTCTGTTTGTGACCTTCTGGACCAGTCCACGCCAGAGCTCTCTGTCAACTGTGGCCACCCCCAGCTCCTTCAAAGTCAAGCCAGTCACTTCAAGGATACCATCCATCCATCTTGCCCTTGGTCGGCCCCTCTTCCTTTTTCCTTCCATTTTCCCCAGCATCATTGTCTTCTCCAAGCTTTCCTGTCTTCTCATTATGTGGCCAAAGTACTTCATCTTTGTCTCTAATATCCTTCCCTCCAATGAGCTGTGGGCTTATGTTTAAAAGTCTCTTACTTGAATTCTGCACAATACTTGAGGCAACTACAGAGAATATATATAAAAAATAATTACAGTACAGAAATAAATTGAACATACATGTTGTCGAAGGCTTTCATGGCTGGAATCACTGCATTGCTGTAAGTTTTCCAGGCTGTATGGCCAAGTTCCAGAAGCATTCTCTTCTGACGTTTCATCCACATCTATGGCAGGCATCCTTAGAGATTGTGAGGGCTTCACCACCACTGAGGATGCCTGCCATAGATGTGGGAGAAACGTCAGGAGAGAATGCTTCTGGAACATGGCTATACAGCCTGGAAAACTCACAGCAACCCAGATGGAGCATACTTGAGTGTCTTTAGCTGTGCGGGTATGTGTGAAAACTCAGTTTTCAAATTAAAGGGGGGGGGGGGAATCTCAGTTGGACAACTAGAAAACATATTAAGTAAAGGTATCTGGATCACTAACATTCTTCCTAAAACTACAGTTACATATTATACAAAAATATAACAAAAGCTCAATAGTTGCTTTTCCCCTACACTTGGAGAGAAAGTATTTGATCACCAATAGGTTTTAGATTACAAACTCCATAATCTCTTATCATTGGCCATAGAAACTGAAGGCTCAGAAAAAATGAAGCTTTAAAACATTGTTCTTCTATAGAAAAGGAACTGGGGTTGCATGGACTTAAGAAGCTCTCTAACTCTCTCTATGGGTTGATGAGGATATCTCTATCCATCTGTCAATCTGTCCAGCTATCTATCTTATCTGCTCGTTTTCTACTCCAAATCCAACTCCCATCGCTTTTCTACCAAGTGGGTCCAAGTCTGTACATGTTGAATTAGGGATTTGTAATTCCATGGAGAAAAAGTGTTGGTTTGAAATGCAATTTGGAAAGGAGATCTAGTGAGCATGGGGCAGTTTAGGCACACATACATATGTACAGAGCTATTCAGTTTTAGAACTCTTTTCCTCATGAAGCTGCTTTTCTTTAAGAAACACAATGGTCCCTATGTATCTGCTGTGGTTTGGTTCCAGGACCCCTTTGGATACCAA